CAGACTCCTGAGGCTTTTCTTGATCCTCTGGGATGGTGAAAACAGCCTCCCCAGACTCCTGAGGCTTTTCTTGATCCTCTGGGATGGTGAAAACAGCCTCCCCGGACTCCTGAGGCTTTTCTTGATCCTCTGGGATGGTGAAAACAGCCTCCCCGGACTCCTGAGGCTTTTCTTGATCCTCTGGGATGGTAAAAACAGCCTCCCCGGACTCCAGAGGCTATCTGGAAGCCGGAAACAGACCCATTTCCGGCCTTCCCGAACTTCCAGGAGGCCTGTTTTTTGCCCTCCCTGAACCTTCGCCCACGCCCTGCATTACCTGCATCCAAAACGGGCCAGGTGGGGACTCTTGGGAGGGGCAGAGCCAGCCAGGAGTGGGATTTGGGGATTCTCCAAACTGCACAGATTCTTAGCTAGGGGCTCTCCCGAACCCCTTGCAAACCTTCCAGCAGCCCACCCGTGCTCCCATCCCTTCACAATCTAGGACCCTGCCCCGAGAGACACTTCCACGTTGAAAGCACCGGTCAGTGCTTGCCCTGTTTCTGCTTCGGAGTCGCCAAATCGTGCCGCAGCACCGGCCGCTACCGTCAACAAATCCACCTCCGATTCGACGAACACAACAATTTCAAAGGTGAGCCAGTGGCAAGGACAGGACAGGGCAGTCCTCCCTAGCCCCCTTCCTGACCTCCTTGGCTTGTTACATCCCCCTTTGTTCCCAGGGGTGAATGTGACCACGCTCGATCATCCCGGCACGCCTCCCCTCGCCTCGACGCAGATGCACATCGACCGCAGCGCGCAGGAGTTCCAGCTGGTTGATCTCTCTCGGCGCTTCCTGATGCACGACTCCTTCTGGACGCTGCCCAAGCGGTTCCTGGGGAACAAGGCAAGGACAGCAGATGGCACGCTTCCCGGATGCCAACCCATCACCTGACCCTGGGCACCTTTGAATACCCGCTTATCCTCTAGCAACCCACTTTCCCTGCAGGTGGATTCCTACGGAGGCTCCCTCCAGTACACGGTGCGTTACCACCTGAGCCGAGGAGAGTCAGAGCCTGTCTGGAAACCGGACGTCATCCTTGTGGGCAACGGGCAGAAGCTGCTTTACCGGCTACCGGCTCATCCTGAGCCCTTTGTGGCCAACAAGCGCCAGGTTGATTTCACAGAGGTGAGTGCCAGGGGAGCCAGGGACGACCTTTATCAGGCTTGGAGAGCTGCCAGGCCGATAGCTTCCAAACGCCACATTGTAGCAGCAATTACTTGACAAGAAGTCAAGAACAAATCTTCACACTAATTAAACCAACTAATTGTCTCCTGCAAACACCACTCCCCTTTTGCTCCTCTTTATTCCCTATGGGAGGGGCCATTCACCGTCCACCTGAGCCTTTACTCCCGAGTTGACCCTTGTTCCTTAGCTGTTCCCTTCTTCTGGCAGCTCTTTGCATGCGCACACCGGGAACAGGCTCCAGCTGCTCTTCTTCCCCACTGATCTCCAACTCCGAAGGCAGCTGATAACTGTCAGATGTTCCTGGCCCCACCTCTGCCTCCGACGCAGAGCCCTCGTCCGAGCCTTTCCCAGACTCCAGGACTGGCCCAGGCTCCACCCCAACCTCCTCACTGTCCGAGTCTGCTGCCAGCTCCGCTGGCCGTTGGCGGGCCACAATAGGGAGATGGAAGTGGAGGAGGAGAACATTGCTGGGAGGGTCTTCTGAGATGGACCCCATTAAGACACCCCACACACACATCAAATGGGACATAGCACTCCCAATATTTTAGTGCTTCCAGCGATTCAGGATGCCGTCCATAAAGCTGCCCCTTTCCATCCTCGTAGTAGCCAAGTTCTGAAGTAGATCTTGCTTCGAAGCGGAAACCGCCCTGACCAGCAGGCCGCTTGGGCTCCTACCTGTGACTCAGAGAAATAAACCAAGCTGCGGGCCACGGGAGGGCGAATTCACACGCATGTCTGCTTCTGGCTGAGACCGGCGCTCTCTGATTGTGTTTTGTGCCGATAGGGGAGCTGGCAGAAGGAGTCTGGGGGGTCCGTCAGCCGAGAGGAGCTGCTCCTTACCCTGCAGAACCTGGAGGCCATCATGATCCAGACGGTGTACGATAACCGGATGGCCAAGGTGGGACTGAGCAACGTCGTTATGGACACCACCACCACGGAAATCACCGGCCTGGGTGTGGCGCATCACGTGGAGGAATGCAGGTGCCAGCCTGGGGGAGGGGATTGGGGGGTGGGGTGGGGTGGGCTACTTTTGGAGAATCTCTAGGACCAAAATCTATTTGGGGAAGAATGACTACTGGATCCCCCTAATCAAGCCTGCTCTGGAGTCAGACAACGCCTTTAGCTTATTCCCTGGTTTGTTGTAGGTCCGAGGGTCTAAACGGGGAGGAGAGGGTTAACAGAGTGAGTGTGTGTTGTCTCCCACCCCCATCATAGAGATGGGAGCCTCCAGGAGCTGGAAAAACAGGACCACTCTAGGATTCCTCTCAACTTTTCCTGCATTCCCTCTTCCCCCCGCCCCTCTCACAGCTTCCACTCTGATCGGGCAGCAGAATTTTCTGCGCTAAAATAATATTTGCCTGGAGGGGATTCGGTGGCTCAGCAGCTAAGGCGCTGAGCTCGCCGATCAGAAAGGTCGGTTCGAATCCCTAGCCCCGCGTAACAGAGCGAGATCCCGTTCCTGGTCCCAGCTTCTGCCAACCTAGCAGTTCGAAAACGCGTAAAAAGAAACACAAGTAGAAAAAATAAAGAGTCCCACAGGGTTCCGTGCGCCTTCGGCGTTTACTCATGCCGGCCACATGACCACGGAGATGTCTTCGGACAGCGCTGGCTCTTCGGATTTGAAACGGAGATGAGCACTGCCCGCTAGAGACAGAAACGACTAGCACATAGGTGTCAGGGGAACATTTATTGCCTTTATTACGTTAATTTTTGCCTCCCTGCGTGGAGCAGCCATTTTTTCTAGACCTGTCTAGGATTCCCACAAATATTATTATTCCCTCTTTGTCCAGACCCGGTTGTCTGCATTCCAGTGGTGGAGGAAAGACACTTACCCTGAGTAGACCTATCAGGCTTGGCTGTGCCTTGAAAACCCCAGCTAGGCACCTCCAGGCTTCCATCCAGAGCCGTTCTAAAATAGCCAGAACAAGGGCATGCTTTGCACTAACCCTTCATCCACCTTGCCTTCTGTCTCTGCTGGCAGAGGCAGCTGGTACTTGTAGCTGCTGCTACTGTCGGCTCCACTCATCCTTCCTTCCACAGGTGCCCCGTCGGCTACTCTGGTCTGTCCTGCGAGCAGTGCGAGCCTCACTTCAAGAGAGTGCGCGGCGGATCCTACCTGGGCATCTGTTCCGGTTGCAGCTGCCATGGCCACTCCAGCTCCTGCGACCCGTTCTCGGGCTACTGCCTGGTGAGCCGCTGGATGGCGGGAGTTGGGGAGGGGCGGGGCAGGCCCTGAAGTTTGCGGGGTGCCCCCAAGTGATGCTTTTAGACTTAGGGTGCCGACTGGAGAAAGTTTGAGAGTAATACATCCAGGAGAATGGCTGGGAAACTTTTCAAGCAGCAAAACCTGTGGCGCAGTGGTTAGAACGTGGTATTGCCGGCTGATTTCGCCGACTGCCATCAGTTCGATTCTCACCAGCTCCAGGTTGACGCAGGCTTCCCTTCTTCCGAGGTCGGTAAAATGTGTATGAAACTCTGGGGAGATCCCAGATCCAAAAGGCAACAACTCTTGGACCAGAGCAGAGTCCGGCCTCTTAACAGCCCTTTCCTGCCCCTCCTCCTCTCTCTTCCTACAGAACTGCCAGCACAACACGGAAGGGCCACGGTGCGATAAATGCAAGCTGGGCTTCTTTGGCGATGCCACCCAGGCCACCCCGGCGGCCTGCCGGCCTTGCCCGTGCCCGTACACCGAAGCTCCACGCAGGTGAGGGAGGGGCGTGGTTACCTTGGGGAGGGATGCTTGGGGCAGCTTCAGCATACATCTCTGCGCAGATTCCTGCACTACGCTACGGTGGCGCAGTGGTCAGAATGCAGTATTGCAGGCTACTTGTGCTGCCTGCCGGCTGCCTGTAATTTGGCGGTTTGAAGCTCACCAGGGGCAAGATTGAACTCAGCCTTCTATCCTTCCGAGGCAGGTAAAATGGGGACCCAAAATTGTTGGTGGCAATATGCTGACTCCGTAAACTGCTTATTATAAAGCACTGTGAAGCGGTATATGAGTTTAAGTGCGATTGCTATTATTAAAATACTAAATGTTTGGCCCAGTGGGAGGCCCATATTAAAACAACATACCTCAGGGGTGGCCAGAATCTGAAAATGACATTTAATACAGCACGATTTCTGACTAAAATGCTCCGACTGAGATCGGCATAGGTGGGCCTGATTGGGATAGATTTCAGGGGTGATAAAGAAATATAATTTCCTGTCATTTTATTCTGTTTTATGACATTTATGTGTCAAATTATTGTATTTTGCCCTACTCTCATTTTAAACGATTTGTTCAGAATTTTATTGGTAATATGTGTTTGAACCTGTACGTTGATGTAGCCTGTAGGCTAATAATACACACACACACACGCACGCACACACACAAACCTTCTACTATCCATCTATCTATCCATATCCATCTATCATCTATCTATATCTATCTATCTGTCTGTCTGTCTGTCTATCATCATCTACCTACCTACCTAACTGTCTATTTATCTATCATCTATCTATCTATCATCTACCTACCTACCTGTCTAGATTATCTATCTATCTATCTATCTATCTATCTATCTATCTATCTATCTATCTATC